TTTAACTTCGCTTATTTTAGCGAGTTTAGTTCAACCGCTCATTTTTATCATTTCTTAAGTAGATCCGCGTTCTTCGACTCCTTCTAAGCTTCTTAAGTTAGGAGTTTTCAGGGTTAAACGCATTCCCACATTCCTAGGAGATACTTCTCTCCCATTTCTTCTAGGTAGTCTAAATAGTCGTTAAGTCGTTGGTCTTCACCCCATATAGTGGTAGCAAATATATACAGCCAGTAATTCTAAAAGGCACCCCGAGCAGCGGTCTCTATGAACAGCTAGCGCAAACCGCTCCGTATAGCGGAATAGACTTGCTCAGCCAGTGATTTAAATGGTATACCCTACGCAGCGATTCTATATATATGGCCAGTTTCTCCAGATTTAGTTAGATAGATAGGTAGGCAGTTCTTTAGTTCTATTAGTCCAGTAAGTAGTTTAGTTCAGTTGTTTTTCGTAATTTTCTCCCACCGCTCGTAGAGAGACACCCATCTATAAGTATTCGCCGAAGATCTTGTTAGTAGCACCATTGAACTAGGGCGAGGCTACTAGCTATGGGCATTAACTCGTACGGCGGTGGGTATGGTCTCTTCTCAACGCGTACGCTCAACTAGAGGAAGTCCTCTCTATTGGTAACTTGGTTGCTTATGTTGTCTATGAAAGATAGTCCCCTAGAACTATATAAGAAGAACCATAGTCTAGGGTCGGCGCCCCAGCCAATTATAACTCTGTCCACCACTTCTAACTTCTCCCATTACACTATTTAATCTTTAGTTTTAATCCTTCTCTAAAGATCGAAATAGTGATGTTATTCTACTATTCTAGAGCTATATTTAGTGTCCTAAATTTTATTGCGTATTCTTAAATTAATTCCGTCTATCGAAGACCTACTATTTTCTTTTAGACTTTCTTTTTCTTATTCTTTACTCTAAACATTAGCTTTATCGTTTCCTTAAGCTCTATGAATGTTTCGAATAGATTAATGGTTTTATCTTCTCTATCGTCGTCTTCGTTTTCTATATAATCCTTAATAAAGGGTTTAAGCTATATCTTAGTATCTTCTTCGAAGTAGCTTCTCATGAAGAGAATCTTCTATAAGTTATTCTGGAAGTTAGTGAAGTTCATTAGAATATATATATTTATATAGTGAATGAAGGGTATAAGTTTAGATTCTACGCCGTTGAAGGGCTTAGATGGGTTGCCGATCTTTCCCTTACTAACTGCTAATGGTACGTCTCTTAATGAGCTTATTACACTCGTTCTATACGCCGGTGGCGGTGCACTAGTCGTAGTCCTCGGGGTGCTTAGTGTTGATCTTAGTGTACTGGAAGTTATTGACATCGTGTTATCGTTTAGTGATAGTCGTATAGTACGTTGTGTAAGTTCGTCTATGGGTGAGGCGGGTCGGTTCGGTCTGCTTATAGAGGTTACCTTCCGTAACGGGAGTAGTAGCTAAAGTGTTAAGGATCTCTACTAATCCTAACTAGGTTAGGGTTCTTAGCAATAATCCTAGAGTAGCATAAGCTAGTTAAGGAAGACATAAGATATAAGTAGGGTTCCTTATTACTAAGAACTGTATAGTCTAGTAGATAATATAAGTTAGCTACGGAGAGAGTGTAACTATCTAGGGTAATAAGGGTATATATATAATGCTTATACTCTGTGCGCTCTACGCGCTCTGTGCGCTCTGTGCTAATAGAGCTAATAGAGCTAATAGGGCCAGTAGGGTATATTACGTGACCCAGTCTTATTTCTTCGTAGATCCTTCTAGGTGTCTAATAAACGTAATGAGTCGCGTCCGTGTAACTCGTGATCGGTCTCTCTTAAGGCTGTGTCTAACACTAGAATGCGCGATTTATAAGTAATCGAACTGTCTAGAATACGCGATTTATACACTTATAGTTATATAATCTATACGAGATATATTTATAATCGGAAGATTATTTATTCGGATAGAACTTATAAAAATCTTATTAAGTTATAATAAAAAAAAAGGCTTTTCTAGTGTTCTATATAAGAATCGAACTCTACTATTAAATCTATGAATTTATAAATATATATATTACACTACCGTAAAATCATCTTAAAATTATCTAGAAATCTAAACAGTTGTTAACGTACTACGAGATAAATCTTCTTATTCTAATTCTAACCTCTTCACTTAATCTAATATATTAAGATAGAAGATAAGTGAATATTAGTACTATTAGGCTAGGTTTCTAAGTAGTACTATTAAGGGCTCTATTCTAGTTTAACTAATAGAGAGTAGAGCGATTCGATCTTAGACTATTACTATAAGGTGTTGTAAAGCTCCTACTACTAGTTTCACTTTCTATATAATAGAATTAAGTAGTTATTGCTAATAGCTTAAGGAACTAGTAGTAGAGGCGCCCTTAACGATAGGCCAGGTAATTTTTATCTATTTTTATCTTTTTTTTATATAGGTAGATAGATAGATAGATAGTAACTAGTTAACTAAATAAATAAATTTAATAATTAAGTAGTAAAGTGAAGCATAGCACGAAATTCGCCTAACTTAGTCTAGCTAATCTTTCGCTTATATCTTTCTAATTAAATAAAAACTTATTTATAGATTTTTAAAAGCTATTTATAATTAAATAATATTTCCTAATTAGAAATAGTACTATTTATCTAACTATTTAAGTAGTATTTAAGTAGATAACTAAAACTATTTAAATATAAATAGTAGATTTCTATTTATTATTTAAATAGTAAATACTATTTAAATAAGTATTTAAATAAGTAATAATTTTGTCCCACACTATACACTAATCATAGTTCTTAGAGTACTTAGTGTTAGTCTCGATGTACCTAACGTTATCGACATCGTATTATTATTTAAGGATAGTCGTGCGATACGTTATATAAGTTCGTCTATAGGTAAGGTGAGTCGGTTCGATCTACTTATAGAGATTATCTCTTATAACGGAGATAGTAGCTAAAGTATTAAGAATCCCTACTAATTCTAACTAAGGATTCTTAGTAATAATTCTAAGATAGTATAAGCTAATTAGAGAAGACATAAGGTATAAGTAGAGTTCTCTATTACTAAGAACTATATAGTTTAGTAGATAATATAAGTTAGCTACGGAGAGAGTGTAACTACCTAGGGTAACGAAGATATATATATAATGCTTATACTCTATACGCTCTATGCGCTCTATGCGCTCTATGCCGATAGAGCTAATAGGGCTAATAGGGCTAATAGGGTATATTACGTAACCTAGTCTTATTCCTCCGTGGATCCTTCTAGGTGTCTAATGAGCGTAATGAGTCGTACTCGTGTAACTCGTAACCGGTCTCCTTCAAGGCTATGTCTAACATCGGGTTAGGTCGGGTTAGACCTATATCTAACTCTTTTCTTAGTGGGTCGGGTTAGCCTAAGTAGGAACCCGACCTAATCTAAAAATTCGACCCGACTTAAAACTTACCGGGCTAACCCGGCCTATATTAGAGCCTAGGAGACTCTTATAGCTTTCTCTCTTTCTATTACGTAAAAAGAGTAAGGCAGCGTTAATCGATAGTCTTATATCTTAACCGTCCTTTACCTTATCCTTTTCTTTCTATACCGTCCACTCGATTCGGGTGGAGGGCGTAGAGTACTTAGGGATAACGGTGGGCTCGTAACAGTATGAGTAGAGTCTCTATTACTAAGAACTATATAGTTTAGTAGATAATATGAGTTAACTACGAAGAGAGTGTACTATCTAGGAATAATGAGGGTATATATATAACACTAGCGCTCTGCGCGCTCTGTGCGCCCTGTTGATAGAGCTAGCAGAGCCAATAGAGCTAATAGAGCACATCGCGTAACTTAGCCTTGTTCTCCCGTGGATCCTTTCATATGTCTAATGAGCATGGTGAGCCGCGCCTATGTTACTCGTGGTCGGTCTCGCCTAAGGCTATGTCTAATATCTAATTACTCTCCGATGTATTAGACGTCCGTCCTTCCGATGTTTAACCGAATCCGTAATAGTGACCTTTCACGAGATGAAGGAACTAGATACTAAGGAAAGTAAATATATTGTAGCTTTAACTTAAGGCACTAAACTATAAAGAGTTATAAGTAGTATTAAGGGATGGCCATTTCGTTGATGATCTTCGTGTTAGACACAGCCTTAAGGGAGATCGCCCACAAGCCGCGCGAGCGCGACTCATTACGTTCATTGGACACCTAGAGGGATCCACGGAGGAACAAGGCTGGGTCACGTAATATGCCCTGCTGGCCCTGTTGGCCCTGTTGGCTCTGTTGGCACAGAGCGCACAGAGCGCACAGAGCGCACAGAGCGCACAGAGCGCACAGAGCACAAGCATTATATATACACCCTCGTTACCCTAGATAGTTACACTCTCTCCGTAGCCAACTCATGTTATCTACTGGACTATACAGTTCTTAGTAACGGAGAACCCTGCTCATACCTTGTGTCTTCCTCAACCAGCTCATGCTATCCTAGGATTGTTACTGAGAACCCTAACCCAGTTAGGATCAGTAGGGATCCTTAACACTTCGGCACCTACATACAGCGAATTACGAAACCGGCTTCTTCGCAAAGTCTATTCTCTTCTTTACTTTGGATTTCGGTGGAGACTGAGGTGATCTATAATTAGCTAGAGATAAGAAAACCTCTAATCAATTATGCCAGAGACCACTGGACTCGCACGGCTGTTTTACGTTTCTTACCGAATATTCTCGAGTCGTCTGATAAAATTTTTGTGCGCTGTTACGTTGCTCTAGAAACAATGCATCTACTCAAGGCGCCGGGCATTGCAAAGCCGGCTTGATCATTAATTTGTCAATTAGCAGGTTTGTCTGAGACCCACATCGCGTCGTAAGAAGTCAAGTTATGCGCATTCAACTGTCTAATAGTGTGACAAAACATGTCCAACTATCATAGCCCCTCACACAGTCGTAAATTACAGCAACCAGTCTAACATGTTGGGGCCTTCGAGAGTACGGAATGATCCCATCTTGCGCAATTCAATCCTTTTCAATCCGCAGCAACAAGGACGACATTTCCGTCGTCCCCTTTTTGAATACGGTACACAGCCCAACCAGGTCTAGGTAGGTCAATGCTACTATCGTTTGTTAAAGCCTTCATAAAAACACCATGCGTGACCAAAGCCACGTTTGGCCTCGAGGATTTTTCGCAAGTTGCTACCAGCGTTTCCAACGTCTCTCGAAGTCTCATCGCTCGCATTTTGACAGCCTCGTCGTGCTCAGAATAGGAGCCCGTCTTTAACCTCCACGTTGCATCCTCCGCATCTGACAGGGGCGAGAAGTCGAGGTAAGGAAATTTTTTTTGCAGGGACTCTCGAGTTGAACAGGTATCGCAGGGGAGGGCGCTCCGTTCCTGCGCATCTGGGTCTACAATGAAGACCGCGCCTGCTTCGACCCCGTTCCCACTTGCTGGGTCAAAATATCGCCGATCGAGGACGTTGGGGAATATAGCAAACGCAGTCTGGATTGCGCGTTGCGACGGGGATGATAAGACAACGCCCACAGAATCTGGTTCCGGGAATGACGAGCCCAGTTGTTCTGCAGCCTTAATCCCAGATTCCGTTAATGCAGGATCAAGCCGTTCAAAGTTTTTGTCGACGTTATGCTGGGATTCAGCATGTCGTAAGAGAAAGACTTTGCTATCGGACATAGCTGTGGTTTCTGAGCTGCCCTTAGTAACGCTTAGGTGTAGTATCACAATATAACCTAATGCTCGAAGAATACTGATGCGGGCTGTGCTGATCTTGCCGGATAGCTATAGAACGATAAAGCGTGTTACTAACGCATGGCATGCACAAGTTTATTGCAGGCAGCGAGCTTCCTGGAAAAATTCGTGTGATCCGGCTCGGCGCCGAAGAGTAGCAATCACATTCTTGGCAAGGACGCATTCTTCTGCTCTCGTCTTAATGCCGAGATGTCCTTGGTGTCCACGTGCATGTGATCTCCGCCATTATTAGCTGTATAACTTCGCCAAATTTAACATCACGATTCTCATATAAAAAAAAAAGGCCAGAGAGAGTCTTGAATCTTCAAACTTCATTGCTACCGCCGACGGCATCAACATGCCCCTTCTCTCAGCTTTTCGCGCAGTGCGTGACTATTCGCGCGACCAAAATAATGCATATCTCGCCAACACCGATAAGTTTTTCTGGCGCATGGGAGATATTATCACCAGAACTTGGGATCTCGGGTTTACGGCGTTTGGCGGCCCTCCCGTCCACTTCCAAATTGAACATCGTCGATTTGTGCAAGGAACACATGGCCGAATCCCATGGATTGACGAACGAGTGGTAAGCTGAGTGTCTTTGCCGGCTCGAGTGGTGGGAGGCTGTATGGTAACAGTTGTTTAGTATCAAGAATTGTTCGCAATCTGTCAAGCCTTACCCGGACCTGGTAGCACTAAGATGTTATTCTGTATCGTTCTGATACATGCAGGCATACTCCCCGCACTACTTACTTTCCTGATTTGGAGGTTAGTGTTGGTCTATACCTCGGTCATTTTGCAAATCTAACCCTTGCTGCGTAGTCTGCCTGGAGCAATCGGCATGTTTTGTCTGTCTCTAGGAGTTCGTCAAATTAAGGAAGTTCTCCCTGCCGTTGCGTACGCTTTCCTTTCTGGCTTGAATGCATCGACAGTGGGCATTGTCGCGCTTGCAGCCGTCCAGGTAAGGCATCTCTGACAACTCTTCTCCCCTTGGCCTCTTTCCTCTGACGTAAGCAAGCTCGCAGAGAAAGCTATTAAGGACCAGATCACTCGCATACTGGTAATCTTTGGCGCTTGCGCAGGTCTATGCTATACGGCCTTATGGTACTTCCCGGCTCTTATTATCGCTGGCGGTATTGCCACCGTCGTTTGGGATTTGTGGCTTCAGCAACAAATTGGAAAAATCAAGGCTAAACGGGCGGCTAAGAAGCGCGAGCGATCTCAGCCACCTGAGCCACCCGAGCCTGCGTCTGTCGAAGCGAACGAGCCAGCCAATCTGCCTGAAAGCAACACTAAGCCGAGCCAGCAAGGTACTGGTGTTCAACGGAGACATGCAGCACAGACAAGCTCGCACACCGAACCAGGTCCGAAGACTGAGGCACCGCAAACAACTGAGGAAGTTGACCGTACAGATATGAAGTCCTATGCGATACCAGTAACAATTGGTTTAACTATCATTGCCGCATTTTTTGGTAAGTCTGTTCTGTCTTCTCTAGGGTTCTCAGAACTGACCTAACCCAGTCTCGTTCATCGCCATCCTCGTTGCCCGAGGAGTCATTGACGATCCGCCGAGACCGCTTGATCTCTTTGCCAACATGTATCTTGCCGGTACCATCATCTTCGGCGGTGGTCCTGTCGTGATTCCGCTTCTGCGCGAATACGTCGTTCAGCCCGGCTGGGTCTCCACGCGAGACTTCTTGATCGGTCTCGCCATCATCCAAGCATTCCCTGGCCCGAACTTCAATTTCGCCGTCTACTTGGGAGCGCTTGCCGTTCTAGGCACGCCCCACTCCACCGCGCTGGGTGCGTTCCTCGGCTTTATGGGTATCTTCGCGCCGGGAATCACACTGGCCGTGGGGTTCCAGAGCCTGTGGGGCACCTTGAGGCACAAACCGATTGTGATCAGTCTGTTGCGCGGGATCAATGCCGCCGCTGTTGGACTCGTGTTTACCGCTGTCTACCGGCTGTGGGAGATCGGCTATCTGACGCAAGAGAGCTCGAGCGGAAAGAGTTTGGGTCAAGATCCTTGGTGGGTGGTGGTCACCACACTCACATACGCTGGCAATGCGTGGTTCAAAGTGCCAGCTCCCGTAGCTATCGTGACCGGAGGACTGTTAGGTCTTTGCTGGTATGGTGCTGTTGGGCGATGATTACCTAGAAAGCATATTTATGGGTGCTTTCCAATGCGGACATAATCGAGGAAGGTTGGTAGGAGTGTTTGTTTCTCTTGGGTAGCCTAGGCCCCGACGTTGAGGCCGGCGTGCCATCACTAGCTGCGCATACTCTGCCAAACTAAGTTCTGCAAATGTCAAGACTAATCGGGATAAATTACAATGAGAAATCAGCTGTAACCTAGTATTGAAATTACGGATCTTATTGGCTATCCATTTAATAGGATCTTACTATTAATGGAAAACACGACCTACTCAATCGTCCCCACTTTCGGATAAAAGAGCAGAGAAGAGGGTTTAGAGAGGAAGCTAGTTTTACAATTCACTGTACCATTATCCTAATTCGATCTTAGCACACTAACTCTACGAAGTGCGCTCCCTTTTCGGTGCCTTAGGGTCTCTTTTTAGTTCTAAACGGGGTTGTTATTAGTAAAGCAAAGAAATACTGTACTGTAACGACTAGAGTCCTTAAATGTTCGCAGTTCATCACTATTAGAGATTTCTGTGTAAGTAGGCAGAATCTAACGATAAGCGTATATATAAGATATCCCTATAGTATATAATCGATACTGTACACGACTTAATGAGAGAAGAAAGGGTGCGCCTCTCATACGGGGAGTGTACTAGAAATATGGATGCACTGCTTAAGTCGCGTCTCTTAGCTAGTGGTCTAATTACTCTTCGATATATTAGACGTCCGTCCTTCAATGTTTAACCGAATTCGTAATAGAATGAGTATTAGGCAGTACTCTCTGTAGCTCGTTTAGTGCTCGGGCACGCTCCCCCCTACTCTGCCGTAGCTCCCGCGACGCTCTCCCGTGGTCGGCCGGGCCTCCTCTATGCTCCGTCACGTGCTAGATTAAAGCGGCCTCGCTTCCTTTTCGGAACGAAAATGGTAAGTGACGAAGCATAGTTCGGGGTATACATAATATATATATATATATATATATTGAACATATGAGGGCTGGAACATATTTTGAGTTCGTTAGAGCTCCTACAATGAGTGATAATCTCTTCTATCGGTTGCGCGCACGGAGCCCTTGAATGAGACTAGAATGTTACAGCGACTACCGAGCAGTCCGTACCTCTCCAGATTTTAGAAGAGATGTATTAATGATCCGCTATTTCTATTCGCGAATCCTCTTTCTTTTTATTATTATTATTTACATCTATTTCAAATCTTCCCGTTAACAGTATGGAGAAAATAGGGGCCTCGCCGAGTCCTCGCAGGAGGAGGAGAAAGTCCCCATACAATTATTCAAACAGGTCGTTGAGCAAATAGTTCGTGGAAAATTTAGGAGAGACGGAAGAGGAACAGGAATGAGTTATACGTCCACCTACTGTCCAGCAATTAGAAAAATCAAACATGTCGTACACCACATCCATGGCTCTGAAATCTCTCGCAGCGTTCTTTTTGCTGCCTTCCAAGGTCTCTCTCTGTATTTAATATTTCGTTGCAATCTAATGCTCTGGGTGAAACTGTAAGGCTGTGAACTGGTAGTTCCGCGATTGGCATCCTATGGATTTGTCCGCTATCCCTGGTCCTTGCAGCAAGGGCGCCTTGTCTATTCGGCATATTTCAGCCTCTTTGTCCTTCGTAGTTCATATGAATCGGGTGCTGGTTCGAATCGAACGAGAGCGGTAGCTATAGCTCTCCTGCTTTTCCCGGTGACTTTCTGTACACTTGTGTATAGGCTGTAGGTCCAGAAAATTAGTATGGCGATAGTAACAATAAGACTCTGCGTTGGCCTTTGTCACATTCACATTAATGTTTTGCACTTAAGTAGGTCCCCCTGCAAAATAAGTGCCCATCATAAGCTGAGAAATGTTTGATATATAATTTATAAGAGTAGAATTCCTCCCAACATTTGAAGCAAAGTCTGCTTGCTTGCACATGCCATTAATACAGCTCTGAGTCTTAGGCTGTGAGATATGATGGTGACAGTAGTGCTCCTGGCTGTCATCTCCTTCTCAAACATCACCCATAGCCTTTCCATTATCATTATTATTTGGGTTTATTTCCTGGAGGGAGCGTTACTGTTGTAAAGAGCCGTCTATTCTCTTTTTTAGTTCGCATAAAAGGACTTCACATGTGACAGATAGAAGGTGAATACTGACTGTCAAATCCCGAATCTAGCTCCGCATCCTTCCAAATTTTCCGAGGACTCCTCAGCTTTTTACTCTTTCCAGCGCTTTGCGGTTGCTGATTTCTCGACGCATTGCAGGAATTTCAACTCTTTCCTTAACAACCGGCTAGTGCATGAGGCTCTATACGGGTCTAGCAACCGTCTATGGCCCATGGGCTTGCGCAGTAGCCTCGCCACATAGTGCTTCAAAGCCACTGCTTCTGGTCTGTCCTATTCTAATTTTAGCCTTCTTGCTTCTCTTTTTCCTTTTTGATGGGAATCCGTTGGGGAAGTGGAGTGTAATCCTCTTACCAGCAGTCGAAAGTATACTCTTCGATATATGAATACCTTCTGTTTTGTGTGTGCGTGTTCATCCGTACGCAAGAACTACTCTTCCTCTATGGATTATGAGGATACAAACAATGAACACGAGAGGCAAGAGCGCCAGCTCCCCCTAGAGTTATGATAAAGAGGCGGACCAGGACGCCGACGGCTGGGGTCGAGAATGAGTTTCCGAGGATGGTGAACGCCAAGGCCCCCGATCTAGTTAGGACGGTGGCACCACAGGATCAGGGCTTTAGTGGAGATCATGTAGGACTGTGGGGTGCAACCAGAGAATGCAGAACACCGCGCCAATGGCTCAACAATA